TCTACAGCCTCCATTTCACCTGCCTGTTAAATATTTCACAAATGTATTTGAAATACAGAAACCAGGGAGCGAATTCGCGTACTTGTAACATTTAACTTCTATGCCTACCAGGTGAATCGCTAAATATTTGAATACCTAATGAACATATGTATAATCTGCCCTACTTTCCACCATAACTTTACATCTACATATGTCAGGTCTTGATCATTTGCCGCTGCGTTAAATTTAAAATGCTTTTAAGAAGATATTTTACAACAAACAGACATTCATAGAGAAACAAACTACACTCATTTTTCAATAAATTATTGCAAGAACATATTAAACGATATATCGCCCGGAAACGCGCCTAACTTTCTTGACACAATTCAGCCAAGAACACAGCCACAACTTCAGCAGCAGCAGCAGAAAACCTCGATGAGCAGTGCAATGTGCAATGTGCAATGTCAAAGAATGAACGTCAATTCATAAGATCAGTCCCCTTTTTGGCCATTACAGTGCTACTGCAGCCGGCACCACTGCTAGACATTGCTGTTGCTGTTCCAACCGTCAAAGGTGTCGTTGTACTGACATGTGCATTCAGCGCANACATATGACCACTAACGGTCAGATTGCGCGCAAAAGTGGGAGGCGGTAGAAGAGCGCATGACCCAAAAGTATGTTTTGGTACGCTCGCCTGCGAAAGAAACAAAGGGGGTGCAAGCGCTGCTGTAACACCGTTAATATTGCTGCTGCCGCCAATGCCAACTGGCACGCTTGTAGCTGAAGGCTTTGAAATGCCTGCTATACTGGTGGCACCGCCAAGCGGGTGTTGCAAATAAGCGCTGAAGTTGGGATGTGCCACGACCGCGGGAGCTGAAGGTGTTTGTAGTTGTTGATGCTGCATAAGCGTAAATGGTTTATGTTGCAGCAATGGCGGAGCTACGACTGTATTCGACGCCACTGACGTGCCAGCAATATTTTCGGAGGCTGTCGTTGTGGCAGCGGTGAATGCAGCAGCTGATGTGATGGTGGATGGGGGTATAGCAGCTGCTGTGGGCACTGTAAGTTCCTGCCGATCGTGACCTGCACGCAACGGCAACGGCATCGACGTCGAAGCAGATGCTGTGGAACCGGCCGAGACGTAGGCTGAATTTGAGGATGAACAAGCACTCAAATTGGAATTGGATTGCGGTGAAACGGCCGCCTCAGTGGGTGCTGTTGAGGATGTGGAAAACGAGGTATTTGCCAGCAATGAAGCATTCGCACGTGTGCTTATGCTTGTATTGGCGCTGACACCAGTACTTGTGGTTGGAGTTACTGCGGCCGAAATAGTGGTGTTGGACTCAATCGAATCGCTCACATCAGCCGTTTCGTTATCATACTCGGCGCTAGTTCCACTTGTGTCAAAAGTTGTATTATTAAGGCTATCGTTCACAGTAAGCGCTGGAATGTCAATGGTGTGCGTCTCATTACCAAATATCAAACG